AAAAAAAAAAGAGACCACACAACTCTACTTACTAAAGCAGCTAATCTTGCCTGCAAGTTTGGGGTCACAAAGCCCGTAATATGTGCAAACAAATGCAATACAAGGAACCATGCAAAAATACAGTAATGAATTCAAAAGAAAAAAATGTAAAACCCAAAAAGAAGTTTTATTAATACACTGAAACTCGTCTGTCTTCTACACGAAATGTAGGTCTAGCACTAGTTGTACCATATAGCAGAGGTTCAATGCTTCCAAATCTGCGCAGGTAAGTCATGCCATCTTTGGTTGACTGCAGTACCATGAGAGGGAGGACAAAAAGTTCTGGAAAGCGGTGTCAACTTTCACTAGGCAGTTGAGCTTCAATGTCCACTCTGCAAATGGGGCACTTCTTGTTAGTAATCAGCCACTGATCTACACATACTTGGTGGAAAAGGTGCATACATGGAAGGCGCCTGTCATCAGAACAGAAGAACATTAGTGTTAATAAAGCATTTCCAAATCAACACACCCATTGGAAAAACAGTGCTGTGGGTTTTGCTATTGAGGCATCTATTCTTTTTGCATGAGAATGGTTTTTTCCACAAGTTTCACTAGCCTTTTCAGTTGAACCTGCGTTTTGTCTAGTTCTAAGAAGAACTAGATATGGCCAACAAAGCCAAGCGTCAGCTAGCTTCTGCTGTATCACACTGACTTACGACTGTTACAGCTGAAGTGGCACTACTGCAGAAATCTGAGAGTCTTAACTCAGGGTATCAGCTTGGGCTCGCTATAAAGCAGACAGACAACCTATGGAAGACCAGAAGAAAATAACCTACGTTCTACCCAAAGATAACATGGGCTGAACAATGCGGTTTGTTCAATTGCAACTTCTTTTATATGTTTATTTTATTAAATTATATTTACTGTTCAATGTTAATCTGTTCAATGACAGATAGGCTTTAACTGTAACTGTTAACCTAGGCAGTATTGCAAAGAGTAGTGTGTCGTATTCAAGTATGGTCTCAAATCCAGACCGTTAACATTCCGTTCTGATATTCAGTGGTACTATTTACCTGACATCTTCACCTTCCTCCAATATAGACAAACAGATGGTACACTTTTCCTCTGTGTCTTCTTCTGTTCCTTCCTCCCCATCGTGTTTGCAGTGCAGTTTCCTCTGTGAGAACCAATCAGTTGTTACCTTATTAGTAGAGATGACATTATTGACAAACTGAGTAAAATCTGTTTTTGATACATATTCAACACATACTGCTTTGAAAACATTTCATAGTATTTATTCTAATGTATCTGAACCAAAATGAATAAAGAACTAGCACTTGGAGAAAAGTCACAGGACGTTTCAGATTTATTCAATTACTGTTTATCATAAGTCTACTAGACTGTCAATATATTAATTTCATACTGTTGCAACCAGTTCTTTTCATTGTTGTGTATAAATATCTTAGTTTTGTTCTATATTATGGTATAATAAACTCCAGCTGAGAGACAAGTGGCCAAAATTCTGTGCCAGATTCAAAACTTCGTGTCCCACAGCCTTCCTAATGTGATCAGAGTAAAGGTTCAGATGATACACACCAAGCAGATAAGCATCATGAACAACTTATCACAAAAATAAAGTCTTATTCATAACTGCTGGACAAGTAATTAAATAACATCAAAACATTCTTGTTTATCACATTACTCTTTATCTAGACACCATTTTCAAAATTTTCTTTGTGAAAAAAGTGGCATCGTAAGCTTTGCTTACGATCCTTGATACAGAAAACATGCACTCTTTGAAGCTGACATTTCTGCAGTTTTAAGCTAAAAGTAAATGTTACTACACTGCCAAAGAAATATTAGGCCACAATTTGAGAAATCCTCACCTTTTTGTATTTGTGTGGATATGTGCATCTTTCTATAGTTCCCTGGGTTGCTCCACGATTAACGTTGCCTAATCTTTCCTCCAAGTGAATCAGCTCCTAAGAAATGACAAAGGAATAAACAGTGCAATAACTAACTGTTATTTGAACTACTTCGAGTAAGTATTAATCTTATTCTAACCCATTTGCAGAATGACAAACACTCAATTCCCAACTTATTCAAGTACTGGTAAAACAAAACAAAACAAAGTTGTATGGGAAAAGTGATGATCTCTGTAGAAAAACCCACAGAACACTGCCTGCTATTTTAAGTTATAGGGAAACACTGTTTTACTACTAAAAGAATTAGAAATCGCTTGTCAGCTGGTAATGGTCATTAATACATCCACATGTACTTGTGTGTCCAGTGTAGAATATGCACTTAAAATGCACTATATAAATACTTGCTTTCTAAGTCATTAAGGCTTAGAAGAGTAAAAATTGCTTAAGTTGAAATATGACTGATTTCTTTTTCTCCAGCAATGACTCTTAGAACCACGAGATGTCATTGAAGATGTTTTCAGCGGACTAGGTCATTAACTCTCTGCATCTGATACCTTTTATTCTCTCTCTTTTTGGTTGGGTTTTTTTTCCTTCCCTCAATTTCAATTCCTGCACTACATAAACATGACAACGCTATTTAAGTTGCCCAGTTTCACCCTCACTAGTAGGGCCTTGGCACAGTTATCCAGAGACATCACTACCTTTCACCAACATATCATATGAATACCACATCCTACTAACTAGGGTGGTGGGTAGAGCAAGATGTGCTGTGAGTTAATAAGCACCTACACCTGCATTGTCCAGGACACCTTTTATTGACTGACTTTTCAATATGCTTTTCTCCCAGTTCACAATAGTGAGGCGATTCTATAGATAAGGGGTGCCTTCTACATTATTGTCTTACATCTATATGTAGAACTAGCTCTACCATACACCCTCCCCATATTCCCTCATGACACATTTTGACATATATCTAGTTTTATTCTATTACAAACCTCAAAATTGCCCCTGAAAGGGCCTCTGAATGGTGTTCCATCCAATCCTGATGAAATGTAACGGATGTGAGGGTAGCCCGCCATGTCTGGTACCTATTCAAACAGCAGATGTTAAGTTAAACCTATTCAGAACAGTCTCACTATTTTACTGTTCACTTTGTAAAATTTAAGACCCTTTTGCTTTTATTGAATCCTTATTATTTATACTCATCTTGAACTTACATTTCCCACTGCCAGCGTAACACAAGCACAAATCTGAGCTCTCTAAACATAAACAGAAACAAAACAGAAATGAGACTCAATTCTCTATTATAATCTCCCCACATCTGCATTACTTATTGGTTGGTCTTACTTCCCAAGTCTCAAAATCTCAGTCTATTTTGTATAAACTGCCATAAATATCTACGTATTTTTGCAAACAAAACAAAGTACTTGCTATAGATTCTCAAATATAAGTTTCTGGTACCACAGAAGAAACAAGGTTAATAATCTGGGAAAAAACCAGCTGGTATCTGTATCTTGCCCAAAACAACTGAACACCTTCAGACGTGATTCAAACGTAGAGGCACATAAAAAAGCAAAGCTCAGAACTAATTTCTAAAGTCACAGTCAGCTCCACATACACTCAGCATTCAAGCAGCCACCAACTTCCTTGCATATTAAGAGATACAGGCAGTGATCAAAATACCAGCGTCCAGTGATGTACGCTACAGGCACTTCAAGCATCAGCGCTTTTCATCCAGGAAAGCATAAAGGTAGTTCAAGTACCAAGGACCACCTTCCCAGCTGGGTTTCTGCATTCCATTTTTACCCCCTCAAGATGAGTGAAAAATGATATTGACTTTGTGAGTTGCTGAAGGAACAGCAATTCTTAATGAACAGGTTAAAAAAACCAAATGACCAGCACATTCAGTTTACTTAATTGTGCAGAGTGCACTGATACGAGGACTGCAAGCAGTGGTTCATTTGGAAATAACATTAAATACTTGAGAAGTACAAGATTTCTTTCCGCGCCATCAGCTGATAATGTCACTGCTGCTACACACACAGCTGAAAATGAATCCCATGGGGCTGCCTACAAGTGAGACATCCCAGATATTACTCATGAAGGCTGGCATCTATGTGTGACTTTCCTCATTTCCGGCAGATACTTCTAAGCTTAACATATATAAAGGTGTAAAACTGAATCAGCACATAGTGAGAAAGCATGGGCCTAGACAAAGTTACTCACATAACAGACCAACAAGCCACCTTACTACATTTTTCAAATCTAGCCTGGTAACTAAAAGCTGACAGGCATAGAAAACATTTCTCTGCCCTGTATTTTTTTTCTTCAGAAAACCAAATCTGATTATTTTAAAGCTGTTTCCATGGTGCTTGTTAAATGATGACCACCATGCAGTGCCAATATAAGCCACAAATACAGCCACAATATCAGCATTAGATTTTAACAAACTAGAGTACAATAAACTGAGGGCTTAACTTTCAGTGCTAATATAGAAGGTGCCTAAATATCTCTTGGTCTGGTACTAGAGCTGGAAATGGGAAACAAGCAAGACAGGATGACTGCTGCAAACGCCAACAGTGCATCAATTTGAAGATCTAAGTTTCGTTCAACATGTAAAGTGTATTTACAGATATTATATACTAATACATGAATTCAATATGATTGCAAATGCAGAATTTTGTATCACAAGATATGTCTATTCATCTGCATAACTAAATATGGCATTTAAGTAGCATCTGTTGGTGTCACAGGTCTTATTACTTGACAATAGAAACTGCAGCCATAAGAAAGGCATTTGGAAGAGTGCATTAAAACCACAATAATTTATAAAACTACACTGTAAGAAATCCATCTCAGGCAGTTGGTGATTTATCCATTCTCCATTTAAACATGTAATTCTACTTTGTCTTCCGATTACAGAAAACACATTTAAAGAACTAGGACACTCATCCATACTATGAACATATTTGTTGTCCCAGGCTTTTACCAGGCACAGACCTGGTTGGCATCATTGGGAAGTTTCCATTGCCTGTTACTACATTGTGAATCCACTGCCTCCACCCAGAGGAATGGAAACTCCTGACAAAACCTAACCCAAATCTCAGGAGTGACTTCCACTGCTCGGTTTTTTTGATTCACCAGGATTTGAAAAGTCTGTTGGAAAAACAATGCATCTGATAGCATGGATACTGCATCATTACAGGACCTGTACAGTCACAGATGTGTTGCTGCAACGCAGTAACTACAGTTCCAGCTGCAGTGACACGCACCCAAGCAGGTCTCCCAATTGGAACAAGTTCTGCTACTCGAGACTTTCTATTTGAGAAACCTACTACATTTAATTTTAAGAGTACAAAACCAATGAAGAATTTATCAGAGTACACACCACAACAAACTACTGAACTTAAACAACAGAAATACTGGGTAGAACAATATGTTTTCATAACACCTCTGCAAAATTACCTGAACATACATTATGTACAGGCTCTTTTATAAAATATTGTGGGATTGAAGCTTACATTTCTGGCCAAGTAAAACACTATTCTAAAAAAAAACATCTTTAAGAAAAAAAAATAGCCCTTTTAGGCCTGCAGAATAAGCAGTCCGCTAACATAGCAAGATTTTAACTAATGACATTTATGACATGAAGCTGGAGGAAAGATGGGCAAAAGAGAACTATCAATAACACCCAACCAAGAACAGTCTAACAAATTCCCTTTGACAGTGACCATCAAGCTTCAAGTGCAGAGAGATTTCAGCTTCACACACAAATGGAAGTGTTTTCTCAGTAAGTTTTCATATCGAGCATAAGAAAAAAGGAAAGCTAAAGCTAATGAAGAAAGTATAAAGGTTACGCCAATCTGCGCTAAGTGCTTGTATATATTCTTGTGAATAGTCAGATTATAATGTACACTTTAAAGCAATACACTGTTTGCCAAGAAGTGCTGTTTCATGTAGAACAAGTATCCCCTGGTTCTGGTGTTGCACTTTCTACTGACACTTTTCACTACCACAAAAATTTTCTGCAGCTAAAAAATTCAAGGCTGAGCCTGAGCCCTTCACAACACAAACGTTCTGAAACGGCTCAGAACAGCTAACCTGCAGGACACATTTTCTTCCCTCCTTTAAACACTTTCCATCTTTCCAGGACCTTCTTGCCTTCCAGTTACTGCAGTCAGTACAGATATTCTTCTTCTGTGATACTACTTATCTTGTCCATCCCGACCTTTTCTTTTTAAATGGTTCATATTTAAATGGTTCACATTAAGTATGATATTCATACATGTTAAAGCAAACCCAAACAATAAGCTTATCCAGTTAACTGCTTAGGTCCACATCGATACTCAAAAAGAAGTAAAGCTGATCAATTTATTTCTTAATAAGCCAAATTCAAACAAGGAGAAGTTGCAGCTTCCACAGAAAGACAACTGTGTGAAGGAACAAGTAACGTATACTGCATAGCTAAAGCCTAACTGTATCTGTGCCTGAAGGGCACGCTCTTCAATAGCCCACATTCTACAAATAAACTGAAGAACAGTAATTCACGTTTATATTAAGAATAAAGTAGGAACTGCATTACAGAAGTCTATTTTCTTATTTGAAAAATGCAGTTAAATTTGATACAGCTAATTAAGGCCATTTCAAACCTAAAGTTCCCCTTGAACTACTATAGCAACATTAAGTTACAGCCGTCAGCTAAGGGTATTTCAAACATTTTGCAGGAAGTTTGGTAGCTTTTTTTTGTACAGAAGAGCTGCATCTCATCGAGCTGTGATACCTGTATGACTACACTGAGTGATGTTATTGTGACCAGCACACATCTACCCTAATGTACTGACATCTACTGGCCTACACCTCCAAATCGCTCCCAGTTTTTACAAGTGTAAATAAAGACGGCCTCAACCACTCTGAGTCATTCAGCAGTCAAAGAACAAGACAGTAAGGCTCTGAAATAGAAGAAAAAGAGCGGACAGCGTATGAAAGCTGGATGTGTCACACCTGAGGAGAGGTTACATTACCATAAGTAACTTTTTAAAAGTTATGATCCAGAGATCTCTCTCTTGACTGGCAAGCTGCAGTCTAGCCTCACAGGTTAATTAAGGAGTCTTCCCAAGGCTTGCATCAACCCTAGAGAGATTTATTTCACCATAGCTAGCAAACTGTAAGGTCCAGATCATTTCCTGCCCCCTGAAATTCACAGTCAGCAGAACACTGTTCAAAAAGGCAGAAGAACCTGGAGTCAGGAGACTGAACAGCATATCCCAAGAACTTCTTTGATTAACAAGTAGTTGAAACAATCTGATTGGCATATCGAAAGCCTCCGTTATTTAAGATGTATTTTATCAAACAGAAACAAAAAAAAGCCCCAACAAAAACCAACCAACCAACAAACCACCCACCACAAATCTCACTACTACACATGATCTGAAAATTGTACCTATGACAGCTTTGTGTGCTTTACAAATAACAAGCTGAATAGGGTACTCAGTCAGTGGTGAGGTGTTGCTTAAGTTTTAAACAGTCAAAATTTCAGACCCATTGTGGTTACTCATTCACCTAAACAAGAGTAAAAGTAGAATAAATTAAAAGGGACAAAGGGAACACTGCTTACTTCAGGCCTATATTCCATTTACAATTTATTTAACAGTTTAAAGCTGAAGAGATTTTGTTTTCTTCAATTACAAAGAGAAGATGGAAGAAGGGAGAAACGAGACCTCCTAGTTTTAACCTTCCATCCCACCCCCC